TTTCTCTCTCTCTCTCTCTCTCTCTCTCTCTTTTTTTTAATAGCAATGCTCCCATTTCACCAGTAAATTATAATAGAATATTTGTAGTAACCAATATGTTGTTAATCATGCAGAGATGATGTTCTAGGAGGAGTTAGACATTTTTCTATTTTAAGTAGTAATTTGTATAAAATGAACAAGATGAACTTTTGCTTAGCAGGCAAAAATTTAAACTAGTAAAGAATTGGCATTTAAAATTGGTAAATATCTAAAGCTAACAGTCTTCATTGCGTATTATCTAGTAATATTCATTGTTAAAGCAAAGTGCAACTTTGGAATGTGTGTTTTCTGATTTATACTAAAAGATATTACAAAATACATGTATTATTTGTGGGGGAGGTTTCTTTCATTGATTGCTAAATAAGCATAGACATTTTCAAATGCTTGAAATGTTGTGAGCTTTTAATATTGTGGGTATCCTTGGTTTATTAATCACTGTCTTCAGATTAGGGTTTGAATAGTGTTTGGATATTTTTTGAGTGCAATACTATGGTTTGTCACACTTGGGACTGATATCTAGTTAATGTTTTGTATAATCAGTGATTGTCTTTCTGACTCTTTCCACACTTTGGCAGAGACTGACTTTTTAACCATCTTTGATGGTGAGGCAACGCTCAGGAGGCTGTTCCCACTCAATGTTAATGTTATTTGTCAAACATCTGAGATTTAATAGAGAACCTCAAAGCCACATTTTAAGGCTGGATGCTGTAAATACTTGACTTCAGTGGAATATTCCTCTTGTGGTGTTTCCAGGATTGGGACTTCAATTTGTAAAGCTGGTATTAGCAAGTAGTAAATTTTAAAAAGAATCACACGTGCTTGATAAATCTGAGAATACAATGAACACAGAAAGATTAGAACATATCAGTACATAATTGTGTGAGGGATATTGTAGACTCTGGTTTCTTTTTTAAACTGCCTGAGCTTAAATTTAAAACGTGTGAGCGCAACGTCTTCACCTTCCATTCCCCCCCCCTCACTTTTTCCCCACTCTCATCTAATTGTTCACTCATTTTCTATTCCTTTTCCACTTTCCCTCCTCGTTTATTCCATACCCCACTTTCATTATTGGTTCCTCTTTGCCATTTGCTTTCCCCCTCCATCCCATACTCCACCTCCCTCACTTTCACTGTGTGGGTGTGAATAAGATGGGAATGGGGGGGGATAGAGCAGGGAGAAGCTCTTTCCTTGTCTGCCCTGGACAGCATGAGCAAACAGAATCAGGGAACCTTCTTCCGCCACCCCCACCATAAGCCACCATAAGCATTGGCAGGGGTCAGAAAGATGAAGCTCCAGGAAGTCTTCCACAGGTCCCTCGTACTGAAACAACCAGGGTAAGGGGTGGGGCCCTGGATTTCTCCTCCCACTCAGCCAGCAGCACTGGAAACAGTAAATGGAGCTATGGAGCACTTTCCCACCCCTTTATGGTATTGCCTGGGAAGTGGCTGTTCTTACGGGGAGCCATGGAGCATCTTTCTCACTGTTGACTATTGCTACCAGTAGTGGCCAGAGGGGGTGCCACATCTCACACCCTCCAACCCCAACCAGCAACATACTAGGGCAGCTGTTCTGCATGATGAGCGCAGCCCTGTGTGTGGTGCCTGCAAGCCAGGAGACAGCCATACTTTCGTAAGGCTAAGTGGGGAAAGTCTGGTTGTTCCCTTGAATGGGTAGGTTAATTGAGCTTTTTATATGGTTAGAGTTTTCTCCTGAGATGAAGGTTTTAAAGGATGAGTGGGCATATGTGGGTTTCCAGGGTTGATTAGATCAATCATAGATTACAAAATTACTGTGTTTCTGTTGCATTTTAATTTGTTAGCAAAAGAAGTTATTGCCTGCATTGTGATTTGGGCGTGGGAGGGTGTGAAGTGTCCTAAATAGTGCTGAACTTTTGCTTCATTGAGAACTAAATCAGAGTTGCTGATTTCCGGAAAGCCTAAACTAAGCTGCTGCTTTACCTTTTTCTTTCCTCACCACCCCATGCCTTTATTAGTACATGGAAGAACCTATTTAAAAGAAAAAAATCCACACTAATTGTCACGTAAATGGTTTGTTAAATTAGTTAGCCTACCTCTGTAACAAGCACTATGTATGACACTGAGTGTTCTGGTTAAACTTGGAACTCCTGTTGCTGCACTACAGAATACCAGAGAAGGGATGTGTGCCAGCGCCTGCACTCCTTTTTAGTTTATTGAGTTGTGGCGTTTGTTTCAAATGTCAATATACCCTAGTAGTTCTATTGATTCTTCCCACCAAATGATTGATTATATGAGATGTCTTTATTAAAGGTGGCAACAGTTACATGAAATTACAGTAACCTGTTGTGAATTACTTGGTTTTAGTTTCTGTATTTCACAAATTTGAATTTTTGTGCATCCCTGCATGCGCTTGTCCTCCCTTCCCTAGGCATCTGAATGTGGGCTTCATTTTGTGCTTAAGAACCGGAGGGTTACGGTCTTCAGAATTTCCTTTATTATGATTATTCTGCTGCCAGCACTTTCTCCTTGATTTTCCCATTTTTTTCTGTTGTTTTCATCTGTTGCTATTATACAACCTTGTCTCCATTTGGGAGAGTAGGATGTAACTCCTCTAAGATTGTGGACTGTTTTTTGTTCTGTGATTCAACTAGCAGAGGTGTACTCATCATGTTAACACCACAGCCCAAACCTTTTACCTCTTCAATTCTGAGTTCCAAATACTTTGGTAATGAGTCTGGACATCCAGTTTTATATGTCAGTTTCCTGCATGCCATCAATTTACTACACTGCGTCATTCTGATATCACTTTTCCAAATAGTGCTACCAGCATTAGAAATGTTCATTTTGCTTATAACAGATGGATAGCTATAACAATGTACAAAATTATCCCTGATCTGTACTATGGTATGTTGATAGACTAAAGAGTGACATTTAACCATATAAAAGAAATATATGAATAAGCCCACTTTTAACCTGGCAACTTGCTTTCTGTAGATTGCACAGGGCTTCAGGTTTTGTTTTAATGTTGTGCTGGCAAATATTTTTAATGTAAAATATCTAGCCAGTTCAAAAATGGGTTTATTTCAAACCTTTTTTTCTTTTGCTTTGTAGGAAAAACATCAGATAGGGGTCCATTTCCACTATATGGCAGAGACCCAGGACTACCAGGTTGTCAAGTAAGTGCGGTGATCATTGAAAAGAAGTTGAATTATCCTCATTCAGTAATTAGTTGAATTCATTTGAACATTTCAGGCTAATAGTTCTTACCTAAGACAGAAATGAATGTAAAGGTCTAATAGCACTGGCTTGAATTGTACTTTGTGAGAGCTAATGCTGTCCAACTGCCTCACAAACCTTTTGTGTGTATATTTGAGATGGGTTAGTGCTTGTGAAAGGGGAACTGTTTCCATAGTTCTGGAGACTCAAGTCCTTTATTTAACAAAAGAATGGATATATATACAGTGCTATACATGTTTGGCAACTTGCTTCCCCAATATGCTCCACCCCTTTCCTAGATGGGATCATCTTGGACTGAGTCCTTTCAATTCTTAAAAAGAAGAACAGGAGGACTTGTGGCACCTTAGAGACTAACAAATTTATTAGAGCATAAGCTTTCGTGGACTATAGCCCACTTTCAATTCTTGGCCTCCTTGCCAGCTGGTGTGATTGTTCACTGGGATTAGATTAAAGTAACCAGATTTATTTCATATAGACCACCAAACCATGAACTTCCAGCAACTACTGACCTAGGCTGGATTTGAATAGTAACCTGGAGGACTAAGTCCCTGTATAAAAACCCCATCCCTTGAGTCTTTGGTTGCTCCCCCTCCCCTCCCCCGTGCCTTTGTGTATTCTTCGGCCAATGTGTTTTCATCCTGACCTGAAACTACTCAGGTTTTCCAGTCTTGAACCAAGTTTTTCAAAAGTGGCTAGTGATTTTTGTTTGCTGCTGTTAGCGAGATCTCCAACTTCAGATTTCAGAAAATGCTGATCATTCACTATCTGAAAATTAGGACCCTTTAAGGTCTTTCCAAGTGTGAACCCAGAAACAGAGATACTCAAAATCGTTTGTCTGAAAATCTAAGCCTTCTTTTTTCTTGAGCAGACAACTAGTCAGGCCAAATTGTCAATGAGAGTAGAATGTGCACTGAGTCCACCAGATTAATTTTCATTTGTGACTCAAGCTATAATTTGAATTCAGTTTTCTAGAAGTGAAATGCTGGTAGTATAAATAATACACTGCATTAGCAAACTCTTCTATTTCTTCTGTTTAATGTTAATGCTCCTAAGGCAGATAATATCCTCAGATTTCTAAATTTTTTCACCAACATAATCCTGTGTTATTTCTTATAATAAATGGTTTTAGTAATGTTTAAAATAAGTTGTAAGATGCAGGCATATTTCCATTTCAGTGTCAATATGTTCATCTTAGATTTAAAAAAAAAAATCCAGGTGTAGCTCATAGCCAGAACAATTTATAAAACAAAATGTGTTAGTTCTTTTCTTAAAAGGAATGTGGTCTGCAAATGTTTACATTTTTTAAACTACACCTTGACAGTACTCCTGAATTTGTGCTGAAAACCAAATGCTGTTTTTTTTCAAAATTGTTAAATAACTAGTGTATTACGTGTCTAGTGCTAGGAGAGAAATTCATTTGTGATTATTTATTTTCAGTGGGGAAAATATATTCTTATTTCCAGTAAACATTCTAGTCACTTTGAACTAGTGTTTTCAGGAATGTCTAACCTTGGAAAAACTTAGCTCTTGGGTTTGACACTTGTCCAAGTCTCTAAATAGTAGTTTGTAAGGCGTGAAAAGGCAGCACCATGTGGCAGTACTGATTGTAGCACTGCTTCTCCTATTAAGTAAGGGTCATCTTGATTCCTCTATTCCGTCTCTTCTCTGCAACACAGATATTGAAAACAAAGACCATTTGTATCTGTACTGTGAAACTCTTATTAATATTCAGTCTCCCAAAAAGCGGCAGTACCTCTTTAAATGCAAGTTATGGACTTCATATGATTGCTAGTCTAGACATTGGTAGATTGTATGAACGTTAGTGTTGTTCAAACAAGTCAGTATGTGCAATATTTAAATATGATAATTTAAGTTTGACATTATTTTGGAAGCTGGCTAATTTACTAATTTACTGATTACTTTCATTAGTGCTAATTTTTTATATTGCAGAACAGGTTTACAATCAAATTACGTAAAACTGTGTTTTGTTCTGCAGTGGGAAGAGGTTAACTTTGCTTGTAGTTTCGCTTCAAAGAAATTGGTTTTGTATGCCCACTTTTTAGTGATGCCAGTTCTCCATTTTATTTTAATTTCTGTTGATTAAACTATTTTGAAGCCAAAAGCTTCTTTATTCTAATCTTATTTTATTTTGTTTTGTTAAAAGATTTTCCTGGGATTTCCCAATCTCTCTATCTCCCTCCGTCCCCTTTTTAGAAGTTGTAAATAAAAGGGAAAAATAGTTTTTAGTAGATTAGATTCCTCTGTTTTAGTTTTGATCCCAGTTGTCTTTTTTTAAAGTTTTGTTTTGTTTTTCCTCTCCAAATATAAGATTTCTTAATGTTTACAGGAGGTTTAGAATTAAGATATTGTTAAATCTGTTGATTTAATTATTTTCAGTGAACTTCTGTGACAGACTACAACTTGTTCTTTAACTTAAATGTCTCTTCAAGATACTTTTAGCAAAAAGTTTTTAGGATGCTTTTCTGCTGCCTCTTTGAGTATTAAGCTTTTGGGGCCAATTACTCTGCTTTTTTTAGCCCAATCCTGCAAAAACACTTTTAAGTAACTTTGTTTATGTGAGTTGTTGTTTCATCTCAGTGGCACCATTCATGTGTAAAATATTTACCAACGTAAATGTTTGCAGTATCAAGCTCTTCATTTTTATGCCATATAGCGTGAAGAATGCCAATACTTAACAATGCCCTGTAGGCAGTTTTCCTGAATTATGGTGCAGCCGACTACAGTTTTCCAATTTATCACAAAAACTATTTCCGCAAACCAAACAAGCTTTGTGTGCGGTTTCTGGTATTTTACTCCATAGTAAATTGGTTTGTCCAAGTGTTTAGTGACCTGATTCTGCTTTCCTCCTTTTGGTTTCAATGCATGTTCCCTCCCTCCTCTGGATCCTTGGTATGTCCTGCACCTTCCTGTCTCCTACAGCTTCTCTCCCTTGGAAAATGCAAAACCTCAAGGAGACGTCTAGTAAGATGGTCGAATTGAGCTGTAACCAAACCAGTGACTGTCATTGTTTTTTAGAAGAAATCCAGAAATTGTGATCTACTAATAGAATAAAATGCTATGCTAGGCCACTTTATAAAAACACCATATTTGGTGTCCCTTTAAATTGGGTTTATATTTATATTTTTCTGTGTGGAATCACACTATCAATTTAAGTTGTTTTTTTTAAATTGTTTCTCTGTGAACCTTAAAGAGTGCTTTATTTTGAAATGAGTTCTTGTAAATAAGGGAAAGTGCCTGTTTTCATCAAGTTTATCTATGGTAAGATTGAAACTACATGTTCTGTTAGTGAAATGAGTGGAGATTACATTCTGAATTGTGAATGCATGCTGGATTTTAACTAGGGTCATGAACGTATCTGCAGGTCAGTGCACATATATTTAACCATTCAGATTTTGGTTTTTATAATAAGCAATCAAATCTGCATTATCTTTAAAATGCACCCTACATAAATAGGGAGGTCATAAACAATGTAACTGTATGTTAAGGTTCACAGCTATGGTTGGATTAATTCTTAATTACATAGTAACATTTTGTACATATAGGAAAATAATATATTAAATGCTCTACTTCAGTAAATCCAGACAATCATGAAGGAATAATGGAACATAGTGGTGGATTTTTTGAAGTGTAGAAGTATATCCCTTTTATTCTGTATTGAATGCTATCCAGACTTTGAATTATTACCAAGATGTAAGAAAGTAGTTTTAAAAAACAAACAAACCTGAAGTATAATAAATAGTAGACAAGATCTGAACTGAATGAAGAGAGAAAATCAGCAGTATTTCAGTTTAAAATGTAACATGTTTATGAACAGCTCAGTTGTCTTGATATGCTTAATAATTCTATAAATTGTACATGCAGATGTAGACAAAACATTCTAATTCTTATTATAAAATACACTAAGAGAATGAAATTGATGATAGCCATATAAATCTATGAAACACGATTGTTGAAAGATACAGTGATGTGATTGACTAATTACATTTTACTCAATCAGTGTAAAATATTGTATTGTAAAATATTTTATGCTGTAATGATAGATGGATTTTTAACTTATTTGTGGCTGTTAGTATTTTATAAGTATTGTAGCTATTGCTAATAACGATGTTTGTTCCAGAAGCTCTATGTTTTGGATCAATAAAAAAAGAAGAAAAAATCAATAGCAAAAATAACAGTATTTCCAGTAATATGCTACACCAGTTTCACTTTAATGACCCATCAGTTATGCTATTGCCATGAAGCTAATGTGAGGTGACTCATTTAACAGCGTATTATTACATCATTTGAACATGATGTAAGGCACATCAGGCATTATTAAATTAGCCAGAGTTTTACAATATGTCAGTAACATTTTATGCACATTAATAGCATAGTTAGTGTTACTTATGGGAATTTATCTCGAGCAAATATATTTAAGGTAGGTTTTTACAGTTATTCTTTCTCACATTCATTTTATTCCTATGGTGTAAATATTACTATACGGGGTTTGGGAATTTTTTTGTTTAACAGGGATAGAATGTACACTACAAGGAAATGCAGATGCAGTGGTCTGAGTGCTGCTTTGGAATATGTTTTATAGTTCATAAAATCACTTTAAATATAGCACTTATTTGGCTTGTCCCTTGAAGGAGAGTTTAGCTGGCTTTTCATTCTCTGTAAAACTCAGATTGACCCGATGGATCATCCTCCAACCTTGCTACATTTTAATATGCAAACATCCTCTTCATCTGGATCCCAGTCATAAGGAGGTTGGAGTGTAAGCTCACAGTTCATTCAGGCTGGAGGATATTATAATTAAATAGAAAATAGAACATAAGCACTAGTTATTGGAGCTTGTCTACTCAGATTTTTCTTCTGTTCTCTATAGGAAATTCATGGCCTCTCTGCTAACCAGGTCAGCACAATTCACTTCAGAATT